TTAAGTGCGGCGTTACTTACCAGTGAATTCAACTTTTCTTGAAAACTTTCTCGTTCCTGAATGGACACTGTGTGATAACTAACTGATCCTTACCGCTAGTTGTAATAAAAGATGAATGATTATGGAGAAAATTTCAGTGTTCTTGCGGACGATCCAATAATATTGTCGGGACGCGATTACAATTGGAAATTATCCAGAGCTTCTGTTTTAAATTATGTCCAAAATATGGTCCTGATTGTTCTCAAAAATGAAACATCGCTAACGAAAGGACACGTTTTTCTTGCCAGTGTAATTCAACATGCGAGTGTTCACTTGGGTGTGTTTTGTTGCCAAGAAGGGTGAAAAAAAAAATAACAACGTCAGGTAAATTTGACAAAAGGTTTGAGAGACTGTGCAAAGCTAACCAATGACGTTATTTGGTGGAAATGTCAAAACAGAAGGCTTCCTGACGCATGTTAATTGGTCTGTCGCTGAAACAACAGGAACTTAAAGATATTAAATAGTAGGAATAACGTAGTCTGAATATGATTGACACTAAGCTTCTAAAGAAACTAAGCACTGCAATTAGAACATATACAAACGACTGAAAATGTACAGAGAAGCAATTTATGGCGGCTTAAGATCCTCACCGTATGGCTATCAATAAGTCTGGTTAAGACGTAACTGCAAATGAAAGTACATTTAATAACTTTGATTTGCATATCTCTTAATCCTACCACTCGTGTTTGCAACTGAAGAAATTGGTTTTAACATGTACACTGCTGTCAATAAACTTAATCAGTTGGAACGTAGCTGCAAATACACAATCAATCTAATTTATTATCTTTTAATCTTTGCAGTCCGTTTTGTAATTTACCAACATCGAAATAGGAAAATGTTTTTGTAGCTGAAGAGACTTAAAACGAGCTGAAAAGAGTTTTTCAAATGCAATTGCCGTTTTGTAACAGCTCTTACTTTTACGAGGAAACTCCTTGAAGGGTTGTTGAAATATAAATGATTGACGTACAGGAATAAAACCTAATTAATTCACAGAGTACATTATTGAAGAAAAGGGATGGCGGTCAGAAAAAGGATTTTCACTGCCTTCAAGCAAGCAGGGAAAAGGCAGGTGGCTAATTTAAACGCGCAGTTTCCTTGGAAAAGTCTTCCAAATAAAACAACGGCAATGGACATTGCTTTTGCTGAAAAATGCTTTCATCAGCACCATTTCCATTTCTCACCGCTAATTACTCAGATAAGACTGAAATTCAGAGAATGCGAGTAGTCAGGATTCACCAGGCCGAAGGCACAAACTGATGACATATACTGGGGAGGAGTTGTAACAATCAAGTCGGAGGGAGTTGCTCAATGCTTTGCCTCGTCCTTCAGCCTGGTTCACACGTACGATGCAAATGCAAACGCATGTGCGAATGCAAGGATTTACACGTGTGAACTACTCCAACGCAAATGAAAATGCAAATGCAAGCGTCGAGGCATGGAATGAAAAACTTTTAATTTTCTTGAGCTTGTGTTTGCGTTTGCGTTTGCGTTTGCTTCCCCTACGTGTGAACCGGGCCAACGAAAATGCAATTGGGAACTCAAGGCGAAGAACACAGGTTCCATCAGTGTATGCCATCACGGCACAATTCGAAAAAAGATGACGTCGACGTCTTCTACCATTACGTAAGAAAAACTTGGGAGAGCGTAAGAAAATTTCCTGTGTCGGTCATCCACGGCGCTTGCGCATCTAACTTTCCTTGCGTTTGCGTTGGACGCGTGAACTCACTTGAATTCGCATTTTCGTTTGCATTTACATCGCCGTGTGAACCAGGGGAATGGACCAACATATTCAAATGAACGCCTTGGGTACCAGCAGGCAAGAGAAGGCTACGAAAACCACGTGAGACGTGACGAAAGATCATTAAAGGAGAGCCTTGAGAGTGGAGGCTGAGAACTTGGACTGAACAGCCATGGCGGCAGAAGATAGAGCAGTCAGGAGAGTGGAAGGGAGAGGCACTGTTCTCCAAAAGGGGAGTAAGGAAACATGATGATAATAGGAATAATTCAGTTTGCTTATAGAGCTTCATCAAGAAAGTCTCTTTAATTATGCTAAACATGGCAATTATCCGGGTCCTCCTTCCTTAATACGTGTAATGATAATCTGAAATTTGTAACCAATGTATTTCAAAGGTGGCTTGAGGTATTGCAGATATTATTGTAGGTTACAGCGGTATATGCAGTTATTCATACTCTTTTGAATCTTTGCTCTATGTAATTTTATGATCGTATCATTCTAGGGACTGCCGCTCTGTCTTGTCTTCACTAGATTTGATACTTTATCTATTTTCTTTCTATAATCAGCTATACGTCGCGATTTTGGAATATCCCGAAAGATTTGTGACTTTTAATTAAGAAGCAGTGACGAATTCTTCTTCAAATATGAACGCCGTTCCTTGAAGCATCATGGAAGATTTACTGCTAACAATATACACCAAACCGCCCCAATAATTCGGTGTGGTAGTGTAGCCTCCTTATCGTGAGGTACTTGGTTAAGATTTCTGCACAGCCCCATGCTCTTGTAGAAAATAGCTGCTGTCCCAACGGCAATCTTTTGTTTTCGCCTTTGTTATCTTTATCCAAGAACCGCTTGAATAATGAAATATAGGACTATAGATGAAAATCTTGCCGCTCGTGATCTCAAATACGATCGATGAAAGGGATAAAATTCAGCCTACATTTAAGTAACTGAGCAGAAGTCAAAATGCATAAGTTATACTGCTTGCACGAATTTAATTTACTAGGTAAACTTAAGCAGGTTTTGCCCAAATATATGAACGGACCAATGTTCACAGTGATTCTCTGTAACACATTGAGATGGAGGAGAGAAAACTGCATATGATTTTTCATGTGTTTTATGCTGAATTATTTGGTCCAAAGCAACTCATTAGGATCCAACGTGTGAATTCATCGACCACCAGCAGTTATCACGCGAAGAAAGATAATTGTTTATCAAAAGAAGGCGTGATAAATTCACCCTTCGGCTAACCTCACGGAAAATGAAACATGCACCTGACAAATTAAAACGCTTGCTTTCATAACTGTAACAAGCCCACAGAATAATCGTTCTTTGTACCTTTCATACTAGGCGCGGCACTTAAAAGCCGTCAGAATCTGATTACAGTTTACCTTGCAAGGTTCTAAAAATATTATTTATTAAACCTTATGGTGCTCTATTTTGGGGAACTCTCCAATACATTAATAAGTAGAGTCATAGGTCTGATTATTTAAACAAAGTCTGGCTGTTTTTTGACAAAATCGCGTCCTAAAGAATCCTCGAATAAGCTGAACCTTAAATCCGAATATTTGTTTTTTGGGAACAGCGTCAAGAGCCAAAAGCCAACAGTGGAAGGACATTTATTTAATGAAATAAACCTTCTTAAAGAGAAAGCCTGAGGCCCACTGATTGCATAAAACCATGGTTTAGGTTAGTCTTCGTGTAAATAACCGCCCCATATAGCTATTTGCTCCACTCGCCAGTAAGGCAAAATAAACCAGAGAAAATTACCTTACCTGATCGCTGTTGTATCACCAAGATTAACGAGATGTTCTATTCTCACTCTACAACATTTTGGGTAAGATATTTTCTTGCACAAAAGAGGAAAGAAATTAAAGTAACTCACCACCAAGTTCGCTCCTCGCTGGAACTTAACAAAAGCTTTCGTGAGAGACTCCTAGTTACTTAGACAAGGCTTCCTTTTACAGAATTTTTATTTTTATTTGAATAATAATAGACTCCATGACTGGCATTCAATGATGATAATGGCTTTGTTTGTTAGCAGCAGGTTTCCATTAAGGTGTCCAAAAGAATTGGTTTGCGAAGAATAATTACAGCTTGTAGCCCAGCGTGCTATGCTGATCATTGTTAGTTTTTCGACAAGAGGTCCAAAATACCTTTATTTTGAAAAGGTTGATAATAAATTAGGTTTTGAATCCAACAACACTTGGATGTGAAGAAAAAGACTATATATTTCCCAGGTAAATAGCTTAATTTCAATGACTGAAAGACAAGATGAAAAGGTTGAAAAGGTTTCCGTGAAGATCGGTGTAAAAATGCTTTGCTATTAACAAGTTGGACCATCTCTCAATGGGCCATTTCAAGATCATTCACTCAGTTTCTTAATAGAAAAGCTTTCCAAAAAAAATACTGTTGATTTGCATGAGAATGACCATGAATGAAAATTAGATTTTTCGTTATAACCATGCACCTTTTCGGATCGCAAATGCAGGCTTGGTCAATTCCTTCATTTACAACTTCGTTAAACATTTTGCTATCGTGTTATGCTAACCCTTCCAAAATAATTTTACGTTTGTTCGTTTATAGGGGGCGAATAAACGTAATAATACTCTGTTCTTATGATTGATCGTTTCCCCTATGAAGTAAATTTTATTAATTTGATTGTCAAAAGAAATCTACTGGAAGTGTCCGTCTTTCTCTAAGTATGACTTGCAAGATGATTATGTGCTAAAAATAGCCAGTAACCGTTTGAATCTTTCTATCTTCAGCCACACCTCACGGGGTGTATCATACATGTACTAGTATCTTATTAATTAACGTCCTTCTATGTCTACGCGCGCGGGAGCCCGAAGCCATCTTCTTAGATATTCCATACTCATGACAGAGGCCCAATAAAACCGATATTGTTATGTATAGCAGCTGTCGCGGCTTATAGTCTGCTTTTTTCATTAAATAATTTGTTTATAGAAGGAAGCTGGCATCATTATTGTTGTCATCTTTGTGTACATTCTGCGGCAGCAACTTTATTTTTTTATGATTGCAAAAGCGTCATATCTTTGCACTACACCTTGTTGCTACGACAACATTTTTCAGGACCATTTGTATCAACTGCATATTCACTGTATAATCAACACGTGACTCAGATGTATCGATCTCTTCATGGCAGATAACCTCAAAAATATTCTCTTGGGGAATAACTGTGATCCTGGATAGATAAGATGGGATACAATACCACGATCGCCAGATTACGTGACATCTTATCATTGAAGTCATCTCAATTCATATATATCAGTAGTATACCCCGGCAGTATGGAGGAGAGCCAATGAGGGCGTGGCCTGAAGGCCACGCGATAAAGAGGGGGTGTGGTTAGGGGGTGTGACCTAGGGAAGAGACATACCCTAAAACGAGAAAAGACGCACGCCCCCCTCTTTATCACGTGACCTTTAGCTCACGCCCTAATTGGATCTCCTCCATACTGCCGGGGTATACTACTTATATCAAATCAAACTACAATATTTACCAATAAAGATGGGTTGACCTGGTATATCACTTAGCGGGTTAGTCGAAGGTTCCCTCTTTTATATTCTAGCTCATGTCAGCTCCATTTGTTTAATTGATAACATGTTTAAATGCGCGATGGCACTTTAACAAAGACTGCTGCATTCCCTGTGACTTTTTCGTTGTATCGACTGGAACGCTAACCACGGCTAAGGAGAAAGATGGACAGCGTTATTGTAAAAATTAGAAACGCATGTGGTTTCTTAAAATTTCAAATTAAATTTGATGCAGTTTCTTTAAAATTCAGATTACTCCAAACGCCAAATGAAACATTACAACTCGAAAATAACCATTAAGCAACCTCGTTCCCTGACTCTCGCGAGGATGGGATGAAGAGAGACTCTGGTGACCAGGTTGCTCATTCGATCTCTCTTAGGCTGATCTTCTCTTTCAAAAGGGCCATCATTCATTTGGCGGATACATTGCGTAGCAACCGAATATATCTCTAAAATTATTTGCCTTTATGTTACAAAATAGATGGATTGTCATTTGCTTAAAGGGGACGAGAGTTAAAGAGGAATTTTTGAAAACGCCGACTGGGAAAAGTCTCCATGACTATGAGACATACTTCAAAAGATTGACAGGCAATAAACTGTATTCAGTATTTAGCTAAATGAAAATCACGTTGGCGCGCGCACGCTAAACTCAGGTTTCCATTTCCAACCGGAAAACTTGAGGAAAGTAAACATGCGTGAAAGTGTAAATGAAACTCAATACAAGATATGAAAGGCCCGTCTAATGGATTTTTCTGAAAATCAATTATTTGACATGCCTTCTTAATGAACATTGATTCATTATCTTAACATTAAAAATAAAAATTTAATCCATCTACTTCACGCCGTTTGAGTTTAGCTCAAAAGATAAGAGAGATTGTACACTAAATTTGTGTCGCTCGTATTTCAAATTTAATGTCTTTTTACTTACATTTAATTCACGCAGCATAATGAGATATCTATCATTTTAATGTCCCTTAAGAGTTCCATTTTAAATTAACTATTTTGCAAATCCAAGAGTTTTCTCGATATCTAGAGGTCTCTCGCTATTGTGAGTTTGCGCTCTACTACCTCCACCCGTTCTTGACGGGTTCGCCCTCACATTTACCCGTTCGCCTCAAAGTCTTTTCTGACAATGTCATAATTTATTTGGAGGAAGTGCAAATTGATTACCAAACCCTAACCAATTTCGACCAATGTAGATATTCCTGGCTGTGTTATTATTCAGTTAGCTCAGATATGATAGCTCGAATGATGCAAAGCTACCATGTCAAACCGGTCCTTATGTAACTGATTTGACAGCAAATTTGAAAGACTTGTTAATTTTCTCATTTGAAAAGCGCTGATCGACACACTTATCTGAAAACCATAGCCACTGCTGGGTTTTCCACAAGGATAACATATCGTCCGAAACGCTGTCACAGAAAGTTCAGTACAGAATGTGTGTGCAGATGGTGACTTCTCCCCAAGTTTCTTGTTCTCTTTGCGGCCTACTCGTCTGACGGGTAATAAGTTGCAGTGCGAGCAAACTTAACAGTTCCCAGGCTTGATTATATCTTTGCTGATGTCGTTGCTGTGATTGTTGGTTTTGCTTATTTCTCTTACTGAGGAACGTTGCATAACACTGTAGGCTATGGTGCAAGCCATGAAGAATTCCACAAGTCTAAAACACGTTTGAAATGTCCACCACGGCCAGGGAGCTGGGTTTACAATTTTGCTATATAAGCTGTACACACCAAAGAGGGAATAAAGCTGCAGTCCACAGCATGCAAATCCTAAAATACTTGTTGCCAGGGTGATCTTTGCAACTTTAATAGTTCCTGTTGCTTGTCTTGGTCGACCCACCCTATCAGCCGTTCCGATCTGGACCATTTGGAGTTCTCTCTGAACGGTAAGATCGTGCTGAATTACTTTTAATCCGCTGTAAATAAAGCTTGTCGAGAGGAGGAAGCCCCAAAGAATGAATAGCGACTGGCATACAATAATCAATGGTGTAAGCTCGGCTTTTATAGCGGTTACTGTTTCTGCCGTTACGACGATCGCAAAGTGAATTGTGATAACCACGCTTAAGAAGGACACACTTTGAAGTTTTTTGGATCCTATTTGGACCTTAGAGACTTCAATAAATACTAAGTGTATAAGGCAGAAGGAGGAAGTCAAACAGGGAAATGTGATACCGTACAATAAATTCGTCAGCCAAGATGGGACCTTTAAACCATTTGTCCTTGACTCGTAAGGATCCAAAAACAAAAACAAGGCTCGTGTCACTCCTTGTGTCAGAACCAATACGTTGATAGCGACGACCAAAGGCTTTCTACCAAATCCTTCCCTCTTTCTGACTTGCGCTAGGGCGATGAGGGAGCGCAGAGCTAACATGCTGAAAATGATACCGAATCCAGCCCAGTGCACCTGCCAGGCTACTCCCCAAATCTGTGTTGCTACTTCCCAGTCAGGGCCTGGCTCAGGATGAGGGTCAGCATGTGGTTCGGCAGTGGCCTGTGAGGATGTTGTGCTCTTGGTCGACGGAGGATTAGGCATAATTAAAAGAAACTATACTAAACTAGTACGCTTACGATTAAGAGACTTAGAGATAAATGAAATAAGCGCAGTCTTAAAATCCACTTTACTCTCCTGGAAATGCTTATTACCCAAAGCTGTGTAAATGTTATACGAATTCGCAAAGACAGTATTTTACTATTTTGTTTGTTGCCTTGGAGATAAGCAAATATTAGTAACAAACGCTTGACACATCATGGACTTAACTCGATGTTGCAGATACCTTCTTGAACCACTTTAGTCTAATAAATTAGCGACTTATGTCTTAATGTGCCAGACTTCTTGAAGTCGATCGAGGAACCTTTGAGAGTTGTGGCCGTCAATATAAACCAGCTTTCTTAAGACGCAGAAACAAAATCGTCACAAAGACACTAAACACGGATTGAATTTGGACACGCCAGTCTTTACGGAGGAAAACCGTATCCAGCCCTTTGTGCTGACCTCTTGTGCAGTCCTGAGCAGGCGCAGTCGCCCAGAATCTTTCAAAAAGCCACTTTGCATTCGCTCATCCTTTAGTTCAGAATACCGCAAAAGTGTTTTCCAGGGCTATGGCAGCCTTGAAGGCGATAAAATAAATAAAATTAATACTTTGAATACAGCTTAAAATCAAATGAAAGGTGCAGTTTCAACCGAATCACCCACTTCTTACCGATATTGGCACTGAAAGATGCAGATTAAGGAGACTTGGAGTGGTCTGTTCGAAGATAATTCCAATTAATCTGGTTAGTCACCGCCAAGCCATACAATTAACGACAAAACTGCTTTGCTTTGAGTTGAAAATATGCTTTTTTCATGATGGACTTGCCCACGCAAAACCAAATGCTAAAAAGAAACGAGGAACAAAAACTGTCAAAAGCTAGTTTGCACAGTTTTGTTTCTAAGTAAATATCGCATATAATTTCCAACCGGTTTCAAAACCTTTTGTAAATAGGCAAACCTTGAGTAACGACTAACTGCAAGCTGCGAAATGACTTTGTCGTAATTGATATTTCCCACCTGCTTCTTAAATTAATACCCCTAATGGAAATAAGGTCATTATACAAAAAATTTAGGACGCGGTTTGAACAATTTCCAATGGCTTGAAGCCATTGAAAATTGTCGTCAAAGCACGATCGGCTAAGAATTATCGGTCGACTAATGAATTACAATGACACAGGTTAATTATAAGAAAGCTAAGACTCTTGAGGAGAAAATGAGAGTTAAAGCTATGATTGACCTTAAGCCAAAAAAAAATTGTGCCTGCCTGCGACACTTTAAACTTCCGTTTCAAACTGATGAATTAAAAAAAACTAATTTAAATAGATAAGTTGAAATTATTACTTATCTATAATGAAAAATATCCTTAAAATTAGGAAATTGATGAAGGGTCGGTCACAAATATTACTTTTGCTCGTAAATTGTTTCTGAAAATGTTTTAGAAGATTCACGATAGCTTTTAGTCGTCAAATCTCGAGTTTCATCTATGTCTAATAACATAAGCCTCATCCAAGATATTTCATTACCAGTAATAATTGGTGAGTGAAAAGATAAGGAAAACTGAAGAATTGAAAAAGAAAAACAGGAATGATAAATAACAGTAATCAAAGGCCGATCACAACTAGAAATTATAAATTGGACTCCTTTGTGCCCTTTTAAATCAAAGAAACTTCTTGCTGAGGCAAAATCAAATTATTCTTGACAGACTTAAGTGATAATGACTGACCAGGATATAACTCAATCAAATCAGAGAAAATGACATTATCTATGCTAATTGCGTATTGTCCAAAACCATACCAGGTAACTGATCCTGAATACACACAAAAAAGCCATTTTGAGAATAGTCTTTGGTGGGAAAATGTATGAAATAGAAAGGGTCACTCTAATTGAAATAATCATTTTTACTTTGATAGCTGTCACAGCCTTGCAAAAGAGACAGCTGAAAACACTGACTCACAATGCCGATGCCACCCATGAGTTTAGAATTGAAAAGCATCACAAGTAAATGATATCCTTATAAAGTGGCGCGGTGTCGACGGATTCTAATTTATCTGCCTACACGTTATCGTTAAAAGTTAGGCATGCGAATCAGTAGTCATTGAAAAGACTTTCCTCTATGCGTTCTGTGCAATGAGAAAGTTGCATGAACCCACTCACCCACATAAGTGGGGCGGGGGAAATGACATAGGGGGGAGGGGAGGGAGAAGAATTGACGGTCTTAAAAAATTTAGATCTGATTTGTTCAAATTCATCGTCTCTAAGCACTTTCAAGTTCTGATAAAAAGTTCTCTCAATTGACAATTGTGCATTTGTTTATTGGCTCTTCCTGAACACTTAGTGTACGTGTAATCGAGGACATATCCCTCAGTTGCATTCAACGTTGAGACGACGTATACCGATCGTGTCAATTCTTTCTGGATGCTATTTGATCTCAAAGTTTGGGCGCCATCCTGGAATGGCTGACCACTCGCCTCACTTTCATGCGAAACCTTTGAATCTCGCCGGCGAATGTGGTCCCCCGGGTTGGCCCGCTTCGGTCTGGACGTCATGGGAAGACACGTAGAAAAATTGCAATTTAACTTTTGATTTTGTTTACGCTCAGTCAAATCTATTAATTCCTAAGCTTGACCAAACGTACTCTACTAATCCATGATTATCAAAAGTCTATAACTTTCTCAATCCTCGAAAGTGTATGGAACGATTTTTTTTGGCGGAGATCTTGAATAATCCTAGCATTTTTAGGCTAATTCTGTTCTTCTTCGCCATGGCCAAAGATTCTTTCAGACTATCCCTCTCAAGAAAAGGTAAAAACAGGTGAAACATTCAGCCAAAATTTATTTAAGTTCGCCGTCTGAAATCCATGTTAAGACTCTTGTACCTTGCCAAGGTAAATACCAAAGATGGCATCCTTATTATTTTTGGTTTCTTCTTTGATATTTACCTCATTGATCTAGCGATTTATTTTCAGCTTTTAAGCTTCACAATGCAATGACGTAGCGTGAGACTGAAAAGGTGAAACTAAGAGACCGAAACGAACGCGAGTCACCTAAAAACACGCATTTTCATTGCTTAGCAAATGGGGAAATAGAGAAAAAGACCATATTACTATAGCCAACAGAGCTTCGTCGCAACTAATTCTTTTCTCAAATTGCATTGCATGCCGGCTTCCCAGACTTAAAGAATAACGATATTTATAGAAAGTGTCACACTTAGATCGCCCGCGGCGTTCAACGAATAAACTATTTTTTGTCGAAGCAACCCACTTGAAACAGCTCAGAGTCTTTCAAATTTCAGTCGTTTTAATAAACACTATCATCACATTACCTTTAGATTTATGTGCCTCTTTTGAAGTCTTTAGCTAATTCGACTTCTTATTTTACGATCCTATAACTATAATTTTCATAACGTCATTAAAGGAAGGGTAACGTCACAGTTTTAATCATTTACATCCCATTCCTAGCCATGTTTTTTTCCTTCTTGCCACACTATTGCCTCCCAATGATTTTCTAACAGAACTAATATTTTTTCGTTCCCGATCGAGTTGACAGAAAGTTTGCCAAATCAGGAGAAGCATCTCTCCGTGACCCTTTCACCCCTGGAGAAGCTTTAGTTTTTTTAACAAATTCTCCTCTTCGGTGCCTTAGGCAATGTATTGGGAACAGTATGGAGAATATGCATACTGATATTAGGGCGTAAAAGGGTTCAGTTTATAATCGCACGCGTGTCTTTACGTGTAATTCTGGTTATGCAAGCGAGACACGTCTTCTATTTTCCCTCCCATCAAAAAAAACCCTAAATATCAAACCAATGAAAAGTAATATTCGTTGCTACAGATGTGTTAGCATATTGACTCTATAAATTCAATAGCTCTCTCGGAAACAAAAGATTTCCTTCGCCGTCTACTCTAATTCTGTTTGTCTTAACAAGTATAACAAAAGAACGGGCGGGGAAGATACCTGGGGCATTTCCGGAAAAATACAGTTATTAAATATATTCGTTTCGCGGCATCCTGGCACCCTGCACGTGACACCGCAACTAGAGTTATGTAACATGAAAACCACATTTAAAAAAAAGATAAAAATAATAAAAAAAAGGAAAAAAAATGAAGCAAAATTAAAAACAAAATAGAGTAAAAGAGAACAGATCCTACCATTTGTAGAAAACTAGCTCTCTGCCTTCTCCACCTAATTTTTTTGAATTAGCGATCCGCCGCCATTTTGTCATTAGGGAATAAATTTGCTACATTCAGCTTCCATAGTCTATAGTTGTTTGTGCTATCATAAAGTACACAGATGTTGTGTTTTTGATTTAGTTCGGGTAAAGGACAAACTTAGGTAATTGGAGAGTTTGACAAGGTACCGCTTTGGCCGATGTCAGCTTTGCCGGGCGAATGAGGTAAATATATTTCCGCTCTCTCTTTTAACGGTTCGGTAGATCCGTGGGAATAATATATCTTCGGAAAAGCACTAGCGCACTTCAGTTTCCTTCGGTACGACTTTTAATTCACTTTGAGCTTTCCTTGGAAAAGGTAAATCTTTCCAAATAAATCCCACATCTTGTGGATTACATGTAAGCTTGCTTCTCAAAGAGTTCTGGCGTCCTTACCATTCCTTTTCTATCTCGTCACACTGTTTCTGTCACTGTAAGTTTTCTTCTGACACTGGCGGAGCGTTTATTTTCGGAAGGTCTTCTTACACTGTATGTGAGTGTGCAGGCCATGGCAATTTCAGCAAGGCGAGCACAGGTTTGAAACGTCCACCACATCCACGCATCAGGCTCCTGAATCTTAGCATAGAATTTGTAAACACTGACCAGCGAATATAATTGTAAAATGCTGCTCGCGATTCCTAAGATGCTTGTACCAATTGTGACTTTTGCAACTTTGGACGTATTCGCTCTGTTCTGTAGTTGCAGGCGTTTCTCGACATTTCTCACTTGATGTATAACTTTGAACCCACTGTAGATAAAGCTGGCGGAAAGAAGAAATCCCCAAACAATAATAAAAACTTGGCAAATGAGTAATAAAATGATAATATCGGCGTCCAGTGCCGAGGCAATATCTCCAGCAAGGACTAAGGCAAATTGAAACGTTATGATTGAACCGAGTAAGTAAATATTCTGTAACTTGTTCGGCACCAACTGCAATTTTGAAACTTCAAGAAAAGCCAAAAAGATCAAACTGAAAGACGAGGTCAGGCAAGGGTAAGCGATGTTAAAAAGGAATTGTAAAAACCATGATGGAACCTCGATACCATTCTGCTGTGATCCATAGGGATCTATCAAAAGGTAAGAAGCCCGCGTGACACCGAAAAACAACAACAGGGAGTTCACAGCGATCACGAAGGGCTTTCGTCCAAATCCTCTTTTCTTTCTGGCTTGGATCAAGGAAAAGAGAGAAAAAACTGCCAAGATACTAAATGCAAGACCAAATCCAATCCAGTGTAACTCCCAAGCTATTCCCCAATGTTTCCTTCCTTTACGCCAATCAGGCGTAGGCTCAGACTGTAACATGTCGTCAACTGCACGCGTTGGCTCAGCCATCTTTGAATAGTTTTCGATTTTCCTTTGGTGATGGTGAGGCATTTTCTCATTTAATTCAGTACCAGAGGCGTTCACTTTCTTCGTCAAATGCTACGGACAGTTTTCCTTTTGCGTGTTAAAGTTTCCGGCTGTTGCTATTATCGGTGCATTACTCGTCTCAAAATGACAAGTCATTGTGGCTTTGCTGCTATATTGGTGGTTACAGATAATTTATTATATCGTACGAGTTTTTTATGCGTTCTATCGCTATGGCTACAAAGAAATACAATCAACTTTGACAGGAACACTGAAAAACCATATCAAGCAACCCAACCAAACACAAAAACCACAAAAATGGGAAAAAACAGATAATCGCGAATGACGAGCCATCCTTCTAGTTCCGGTTCATCGGTTCCGTTTTCAACTCCAACCCTTAAACAGACGTAATTAATCTAACTTAGTGACGTGTCAGGATATATGGGACCGTTGGATGTTTTTGATAAATCTCTTTAAATATCTTTACAGGCAAGCGCAAACAAAAACCTCTTTAAACAATTGAAGTGGCCCTTACAGAAATGATTTTAATGCCTTAGGGAAAATTTAAGTGAGCCTTCCATTTCGACTCAAAAAAGTTTCATCAATGGATCACTAAAGAGATAAAAAATCCCATCAAGGCGCTGTTATGACACATATTATCGTGACGATGCAACGAATTATGTTTAAGAAAAAAAAATTTTTGCCTGAGTTTAAAATAGACACGATTCCAAATTAAAATGACATATGATTTAATTTTCACTTAACTCGAGCTAAAATGACACGACAAATTTACCAAAGGTAAAATTTACTATAAAATGATACCTGTCGGATGAAGTTCTGCAGAAGTCGATATAAAATACAATCTTCAACACATAATCGAACTTTATTTCAGACAGCTTGAAATCAAACTGTTTTTCTCTTCACAACCTGCCTACGTTTGTGGGAAATTTACACATGTGCATATACAGTCCTGGGATCAACATCAGTATCTGGGCAACTGTCCACCCACCCCTCCCCTAACTCAACAACGGTCAATTGACAACAAGTTGAGGTTAATGTTGGGTTAGGGGAGGGGTAGGTGGGCAGTTGCCCAGATACTGATATTGATCCCAGTCCTTCAACTCCTTGTTTTTACAACTATACCATAATTTTTCTTTATTTTTGCGATATCAGGTGGTATTTTCGTTTACAGAAACTAATCAAAGTATCTAGGATTTCAGGTTTATCAATAATAGAATAACTTTGCAAACCCTCACCCGGAATTGCCATCTTGAACTCAGTCAATGTCAATCAAAGTAATGCATCTCAACTGTGATTGGACAAATATAGAGTAATGTGTTGGTAACTAGGTAAAGAAGCTTTCGTATCAAAGCCAAACGTATGATTTCTGTCGAAGTTCGGACAGGAATAAGAACAATTAACTGCTCGGCCTCAATCACCGAAGGCACCTATTAACCTATTGCTTCTATCAGACCTTGGACAGATACATGTGCATGTAACGGAGAAATTCTCGAGCAACGTTGAAAGTACAGACGTCAAACCGTTTGGCGGAACACATTTTTTTAACTTTACAAGTATTCACAGAAACCTAAAAGATGTAGAATATAGGCGACTAACGAAAAACGAAAGACTGCGCACGTTCCTTGCGCCAGTCTTATTTGAAGCATTACGTTACCGCTGGAAATTAAAGGGCTCACCATTACTTGCAACTAGTGGGCCAAACCAGTCAATATAAAAATGAACAGGCTTCTTATGGAAACGTGAAATTTCACTCGAAAGTAAAAATCCCTCCAAACATGAACTTGTCTAACGGGAGAGTTGTAACTGATGGTCAAATGCCTGAAGTAACGGACAATTCTAGCCAGTCAGTTGAACTACTAAAAACGGCCTAAGTGCTATCCATAATAATACCAGAATGCATAATGTCGCGCATTCACCAGCCACTGTGAACAATAATGTTCGCACGAGTTCGCTCTCCTTTCCTACCGCAGCTTTCGGCAGACGACATCTTCAGTTATAACGTTGGAAAGACAGCAAATGATGTCCCGTTTCTAACAAACCCTTGTTTAAATTTACTCAACATTAGAATGTTTAACTCTTCCGTTTTTTCTTGCGTGGAGATTCGTGTTTGCTACTAGGTTTTTTCCTCTTCTTTGATGGAGTTTCTTCTTGGCCCCTATCACGGTCAGCTGAGGAACATAAATGAAAACGAATTAGAACGGCGGACTTTGACGCGGGTTCATTTTACCACTGTTTCATGTTACTGCGTCACTTTGGAGAACAGAAACATGTCGCAGCTTCCTGAGCATGGCTGCGTCAAAAGCCAGTTGTCAAAATTCCAAGGCTATTACCGGACTGACAACAAAACATTTTTAAGAAAAGACACGTACAAGATAACATGCAGCACTACCCTTACATACCATCCCGTCTTACTTGCCACCGCTCGTATCTTTTCAACAAATCAAACAAGATTGAAATTTGTACCACGGCCCTTACCAAACCAACGACCGCACACAAAAAAAGTCTAACTATGACTTCAACATTTTACTTTTCCGTGACTTCTCCGCCGCCAAATATTTAATTTCCCTCACTCAAATTAAAATTCCAGACTTTTCTCCGACCTTGAGTTAATTTTTTTTCTAATTATTTCCATATTTGTGGCCACCACACACAGAGAAAATTCTAGTCTAAGAGGCAAAAGTAGCGTGAATCAGCTGTTATCAGTTTTTCATAAAGAACCGAAGCAAAGGGCTCCGCATTATTTTGCCCACACATCTTTCATTATTTTGTTCTAAAACAGTTACCCACGCTTAAAAAAGCAGTCAAATCTCCTTTTCTCGCTGAGTTTCGTGCGCGAGGCCTAATTCTCATTCACGCATCAAGGTGATAAAAAAAACGTTTTCCGGTCACTCTAAAAAGCGAAAAAAAAAATTAGGACACTCTCTAGCACAATTTTCATATAGAAAAATCCACCATTGTGCAGTTTTTTTTACATGTCAAAAGAAGTCTTGCCTCCGCAGGAGAAAGTCACATGATATATTTGCCTGAGGTTACCAGAAACTTTATTCCCACGCCTAACCTTTGATACACTAAACATTTATTTTTTAAACGACTGCGAAACGTATTGACAATTACAAGCAACTTGAAAGCTGAAGCGGCATGGTGACAATGCAGCACCAGGAAAGTACAATATTGCAAATATCAAAGGAAACGGCTCAAGCACCATTAAAGAAAGATCTAGAGCTCACCTTTGGCCGCTTCTTCTTCAAGTTCAGACCAGTCTTTTCCGCTTTCCTCTTCGCTGCCCATCTCTTCTTCGAATTCTTAGAAAAAAAGGAAACATTACTCAGCATATACAGTTATTAATACAATTTACAATAATATTGCAAGCTGATTGTGGATTTGTTAATTCGCCATTGCGATTAGCGTACCCTCACCTGTAACCGTAGTTCAACACGATAATAGAAAAACATAAAAGAGAAGACTAACAGACTAAAAAGCTTTCCCCTTTATAACAGGACACAAGAGGATGGGGAGGTTTCTTTAATGCTGTCCAGTTATTGTAAGAAAATAAGAAAACGTCAAAATCGCTTTCCACAAGTCACGGTAAAGACCTAATCGCCCGGGGGGGTTTTGATGAGGGGTTTTAGCGATAACGAGAATGGTAAAAACTTTTACATATTTTGCAGGCCCTGTCCAGCCAATTTTCACGACAGTGAGCGCCCTGAGACAAAAACAAACAAACAAAAACGAACAAAACAACGCAAACAAACAAAAGACAACAAAAGTATCAATTGCAACAAAACCCATTAAACACATTTTTTCTGGTAATTTTACTCATGCTGAAGGAGCAACTGTCTTTTGCAGTTCATATGAACAATACATTTAACTAGTTCTCTGAATACTGCCCCTTTGCCGTTAAAAAGGATTTGTTAACTACAAACAAAAGAGCACAAGCAGCATAGTTAACCAAAAACTGGATACAAAAACAAGCAGGGCGCCGTTTGGATAGCCCTTGGTCATCTGGTGGATGCTATTGCGGCAAAACTAGCCAATCAAAAATTTTTTTTCTTTCTTTGGCGTTATTTAGAAATGTGGACACAAAACAAAAAAATTGCGAGTTACACGAGATTCCTGCGCGAAAGAGCGCTCATTTACAAACGAACAAGAACTGAACATAAACAGAACGAAGTGACGCCTCCACGTTTCCCACAAATGATCACCACGAAACGTCACACACTCCAAAATGGACACAATCAAAACACTCCAAGTGCAACATAACTGAAAATTACTTCTTAATCTTTTCGTTCCTCATACTTAATTTCCATTTTCGCGACCAAATTTAAATTTACAGAATACTTCCAACTTGTTAACAGGTAGTTGTACCCGCAGTAGAGGTTTCACGAACATCATGGATCCCCTTCACTCCTTCCCCCTCCCCCGCCCCCCGTGAGCAGTGTCCTCACCTGAGCCGTCTTCGCTCGTCTCTGTTTCAGAAGAATACTCTTCTTGTGACGATGACTCCTCTTCCTCTGATTCTGTCGGAGCGTACTCACTTTCCGCTTCCTCCTCGCTGTCTTCTCCTTCCTCACCCTGAGGTTGAAATGCACTTACTTAAGAACAAATCAAGCCGAGGGTCCTCGCTAAGTATTTTCCATAGGAGTTAGGACAATAAATAGCCGGCAACTTTGCCACTTGTCCTCCACGCCAGGGGAGTGAAACAGTGCGGGGTGGTTACTTTTGCTCGCGAGAGATATAGAAAGGATATCTAGCGGAAGTAGTGCTCGACACTTGTGATTTTAAGGGATAAATATGTCTACACAAGCTGGATTTCTCTAACACATGATGTGTTTCCAAAGCGATGACATCTGATAGATATATTTACAACAATGTTTGGCAGAAGGAAACAAATTTAAACTTAATGCGATGAGTTATTATAATTCAAAAAGACAGCAATTGTTGGAAAAATCTTTCAGTAAATATTTCTGTGAAAAAGTACGCTATCTAACAAGAACCCAAGTGACTGGGGTAGACCACTTACACTGCTGTCAGGATCCAAGAAACTCCAGCCACCATTGTCGATAAACGCTTCAGGATCATCGTTGATGGTTTTCATAATCTTTGCCCAGTTTAAACTCTGGATTCCTTCAGTGTACTTAATGTCACATGAACTACAAAGAAAACGAAGCGCACAAGAGGAAGCATTATCTTCACAGCATTTAGCTGCCACGTTTCTTCAAGGATCGGCAATCAAGCCAATCTCGCTCCCTTACTATCTTCTTCCTGAGCCCCTGGAGTGAGAAAAAGACTCTCCTTCTCTCTCGCTCCAAAGAGTAGGAATAAGGAAAGGCTGGGAAGGAGGTTGTCATCAAACGGTGTGTTTTCCGCGATAAAAGAATTGATAAAAGT